CCAAAGAATAAAACTGTTAACCATAAAGACAAGAATACAAAGAAGCAAACTACCTGCAGTAGTACAAATTCTTTTACTTTCGTGGTTGAATGATGCGAGTCTCAAACCCACATCTTCGCCACCAGGGCTCACTGTGGTCATAGTTAAAGTCGAGGTTAAAGTGTTGTAAGGCTGAGTTCTGGCGTGAGGTGTCTTACTGAGTTTTAGCCCTCCTCGAATACAACCACTAAAGTACAGGAATTTGTACTCTTGCAGACAGTGTAATCCAGAAGTCGGCTCCTGTGCATTTGTTCCATTAAAAGAGGAGAAAAGTTTTGATATTATGTATGCCAATAAAGAAACTTGACTGTCGGCAAAGAGTGCTATATCATGTAGCATATCGCGGCGAGGAAACATCAGACTTTTAACATAATTCTTACTAGTTAAACTTCCTCCTCTGCATGTTAAACACTTCTGTGAGGTGAGACCACTCAGTCTACGTCACTCGAACTAGCTAGTAGTTAACTGTGTGCCAGTTTTCATTTTGACCCTTTATAATTCTCCAGCAAGGTGATTCGGTTTTGCTTCTGGAGTATTTGTTTCAAGGACGTTTTTCCATGATTACTTGCTCTGAAATACTGTTTAGTTACGATATCGTTAAGTTTTTCTAGCCCCTGCTGTGTAAATCCAATCAAATTTCCATGAATTCCAATCAGTTCAGGAACATGATGCTGAAGGATGTGAATATACGGGGTAACATCACATCTCTGATACGCATCTACATACAGCTTGATCCATGAATTAATCTCAGAAGACACTTCATTCACATTTGGTGCACTTGATTTCACTAAATCGTTTATGGAGTGAAACCCATCCCAGACGGATTGTATAACGCCTGCCCTCTCTTCATCGTCAAGTAATTCAGAGGCTTTAAATACCTTTGAGAGTTTCAATTTCTCGGGACCTTGCAAATCACGAAACTCTATTTTCCGTGTATCTTTGTTGATAAAAAATTCAAAGTTTATCCCTGCTTCTTTTAATTGTTTCTCCAGTCTAGACATGTGTTTAAGCTTATTTCTATCAAGGCCAGCTTTGAAACAAGTGTTTGTCTTTACATTGTCCAACAGTCTCAATTCACACACAAGAAGACTGAACAGCTTATATGTAACCCTCAGAAAGAGATGCAGTTGGTCAATCACCACGTTTCTTAGAGGTATGTTAGGAAACAAAGGATCGTTTGATAAAGAATAATCAGTTTTTGTTTTTCTCTGCATTTTGTCACTATTCGATGCCTTATAATCAATTCGCGCCCCTTTGTTTGGATCCGACATTGACCATTTTTCTTCGACACGATAACGTTCCTGTTTTGAACACTTGCAGTATATACATGTGTGTTGAGATGCAATAGAACTTATTCCTACAGCAATGAGTAAGAACTTATAATCTCCACCTAGATAAAGAGTAAGTTTCAATTGTACACCAGCTATGGAGATCCACGTTCCATTTAATTCATCTGTTTCCTTCCTTAAATTGGAAAGGGCCTGAGTAAGTTCATAGTGTCGTTCCCTAGTGCATACAATGGCTAGAGGGTAATTTCCCAGCGCAGAACCACATTTACTATCGTTAAGGATAGTAAAAGCCACGTTTATCACATGTAAGTGTTTCCCGATCCGTGTCCCATCTGCCGACTTTAAGACATGTCCCGTCAATATAAGCATCTGGGTCATTTGCGATCAAATTTGGCACAACAGCATGTAACCGCTCTCGGAAGTGACTGTTCATATCCTAATCCGTCTGGAGTTTCCTTTATGATAAAGTTACTGTTTAACTGCGAATATGTCTCTTTAATTTTGTGAGATCTGGGAAGATTTTTGAACAGCATAGTAAGTTCATGATAAGCATTGTTGCTTACATTAAACACATCTAATACATACAAGAGTCTATTCAAGCTGTCTTCCCTTATTTCTTTGTCTTTTTCAAGGATAATTTCATCGTGTTTGCCACCCTTTTCTATTAGTATTGACAAAACCTTGGTGTTGTCCTCTTCAACAAAAGATAGTGCATCCTTACACTGCTCAATTTTCCTTTTCTTTGCATAAGAGTGAGTACAGTCAGCTAGTATTTTCCTTTTCCGATCTCTGTCCTGGACCGTCTGGGAGCCTTTACTTTTCAGTTTACATTCGGGTTTTAGTGCTTCCACTAGTTTAGTTTCTAACTGCTGGTTTTCATGTTTTAAATTATCAATGATGCACTCCAAGTTTTGTTTTATTTCATTAACTTTTAATTCACTGCGATGTCCATCTATACTTACATTCCACTTGTATTCTTTTTTAGAAAGATTGGCTAAAAAAATGTCTGAACTGCCTTCCACCTTTCCTTTTACACGTTGCTGCTTGTTTTCTGAGTCTGAATAATTCTGATTTCATATTGTCCTTTTCCCTTTCGCTGACAATATAAGACACACCAATTTCGTCCTCTAACTTGCTAATGAAAGATTCCATGTTTTCTTTGGTCAACTGATTTTCCCAAAAGTTACTCTGCAATATGTTAAATAACGTCAGTTTTGAAATGACTACCATGATGAGACGTAAAACTGTAACTTTCATGCTGGACTCTTGCCTATATGACTATAAACTGGTGGCATTGAGGAGATCTTTCAGTCGGGACACGTTTCCTGGGGCTTTGACAAAGGTGAATGAAAGTTGATAGCCTCTATCGAGGAAACACTCCTCTACGTGGTCTGGAAAGACTGTGAAATCAACCAGTGACCTCCGCTTACCAAACCAAAACTTGACTGTGTCAGTTTTGACAAAAAGTTATCACCTTGAGCATTGATGACTCTGTAATCCCACCCGACTCCCAGTATGGGCTCTAAACATTGTCTGGAGGAGATCACGTACACTGTTCTGTCTCTCCTGGTCTGGTAAACCTCACCAATCTGTTTAATTACCTCGAAATCATCACTGGTTATAGGTACTCGAATAAACAACTTGCTGTCTGTGTGTGAGTTATTCAGTGCTTCTTTTATTTCAATCTGTAGTTGTCTAAGTGGTAGTCTGTCTGGTGGAGTAGTGTCAACGATGTCCTCAACCTTAATTACTTCGTCATATGAAGTGCTCCATCCTGAAAAAGTAAATCTCTTAAGTTTTGTGTAAGAAAATATTTTGTGATTTTTTTATTGTGATTTTAAAAAAATACTAAACACAAAGGCCCATTTTGGGCGCAGAAATTCAGTTTCAGAAACACAGTTTACAAATATCTGTCGGATAAAGTACGTTTTAGAAGTTCCAAACATCTTCAAACAAAATACAGTGGAATCTGTCATATTCGGACCTTGGGTAATTCGGTTTTCTTTACAGTTCGGACCTTAGTGCTGGTCCCAGCAGAACTTAGTTAAACTATCATTACACAAACGCTGAATAAATCGGTACTAGTGTTTTGTAGAAATTCTACACTTTACCACTAACCACTAGGTTATGTCATTCAATTAGATACCAATGTAATGAACCCGGCAAAATCCTGTCCTTGGTCGGTCGATAATTCTAATGGGATACAACCCAGGTGTCCATGTTTCTTTTTGACTGGAGGTACTGGCCTTACCACAAGTCTACGCCCATCAGCCAAGTCTCTGTAAATGATAAATCTGTCAATCAGGATCTGGATGTAAAGGAAGAATGTTTTTAAATAACGTTTAATCTCATGTGTAGTAATGATACAAAAATAAATTGAAGATGTATTTTCCCCAACTAAAATTAAATAAGTTGAAACTACTTTACTAAGTTTCACGGGGTACAAATTCAGGCGTCACCGGTGAGTTTGCAACGTGCCGTCCCACGTGGAATCTTTATTAACGTTTCTACCAAATAATGCTTATATCAGAGTAAAACATCAATTAAAACAAAACGTAGGTTGTTGTTAGATGTTAAGCTTATTTACCTGTAAGAATTGACTTTTGATCCGTCGATATTTATAATTTGTCTTTGACGCAGACGTCTGCTTATTTCTTTCGCCGCCATATTTGTCAGGAGCGACCGAGGGGAGATAACTCTCATCCATGTGACATAATTTTTCATCTCTGTCTCAATATGATGTACCTAGCTAAAATCAGAATACACAAACGTACTCGGAACTGTCATATTCACGATATTGTATGAGATGCATTCAAATGCGTTGTATAAGAAATGAGCATCTTCACACAATGACGAATATTTCGCCATGCATATTATACTAGCAGAGCGCTCTATCACTCGTAAACAGGCGAACGGGAACTATAACATGAAATGGTTATATATAGTAGAGGAATATCAACTCGTCTCTCGCTTAGGGTACCGAGTACGTTAATGTACTCTGACTTTGTTTATGGTACCCTCTATAGTCCGTTTGGCTCAAAAGCGGACCGATGAATTGCAATCTAACTCGAAAACTAATAAACATAACATAGAAACGCTGATCATAATCAAAACATCATACCAACTCTGTGAGGTTTTTGCAGAATTTTTGTCCCAAAAATAATAAAGTTGTTGAACAAACTATCATTAAAATATTGACACAGTTCACTGTTTGTTACGAGGGGAGGAGTGCAGAGAAAGGGACAGCCAGGTGTTCGAGAAGCACGTTCACAGACAAAGTTATTTATTCATTAACCTGTGCTGTGCCATCTCCATCCGTTCTCGAACACCTGTCTGTCCCTTTCTCTGCACTCCTCCCTCGTAACAAATAGTGAACTGTGTCAATATTTTAATTATAGATTGTTAAACAACTTTTTTATTTTTAGGACAAAACTTCTGCAAAATCCTCACAGAGTTGGTATGATGTTTTGATTATGATCAGCGTTTCATTGAGTATTTTATGTTTATTAGTTTGAGTTAGATTGCAATTCATCGGTCCGCGCTTGAGCCAAACGGACTGTATACAGAAACGTATCTGTGGTACACATCTGGGTCCACACATCTGCCGTATCCGTGTCGACAACGACCTCCTACGGCGGCACTTGCGGTCACCTGGAGTTGTCTTCCCTTTAATCATGGCGAACCCAGGAGGCCACGCTCACACGAGCTCCGAATCAAAGTGAGTAGATATCAGTTTCTAAATTTTGACAAGCTGGCATATTTGTTCAGGACCTTTATAAGATGCAGACGCATCGATGTGAGCAGTTTCAAGCGGGTGTTGTCAGTATTTATTTAGAAAATATTTTTAGAATATCTCCCTGTTATGAATGGACTTGCCTCCCTTGCACTTGCACTAGTTTCAGTAAGGTGAATCTGTATAAAAACAGAATTGTACAACATGCTCAGTACTTTGCATCACATTTAGTTTACTGTATTAACAATGAAATGTATTAGACATCTTTTTTGTGTGATAACAATCTAAATGTTGAGGAGATTGAATAGTTTGTATTTATATTTTGTTGCACTGAAATAGCTTATTTTGTTTTAAGATTTAAAGGGCAGATCACTGAAATATAAATTATATATACTATTATGAAATTATGTAAATATTATAATACATATGTAATGGATAAATGCAGTTATTATGAATCAAATGGTGGCCTGTGAAGAACCATTGAAGATGTTATTTTCTTACGTTTTTAATTTAAAAACATGTAAATAGGCCTATATTTTCTTTTTACAGATATAGTTTTGATATAGTGTTCCTCAAACGATTCCTGCGACTGTTTCGTCTTATGTTCCCAAGATGGCTGAGTGTCACATCTCTGCTGAGTTTCTTTCTTCTTCTGCTGTCTCTTCTGGGTAAGTCTAGTTCAGCCAGCTAAACGTCGGTGTATACCTGGATAGGATAGGCTGAACTTGGGTAAGTCAAGAGGCGGTGGGGTAGCCTTGTGGTTATAACGTTCACTCGCCAAGCTGAAGGGATCAATTTCCCACAGGGGTACAATGTGATATTGCTGGAATATTGCTCGAAGTGTCATCTCACTCACTCCACTCACTCACTCACTCACATTATATCTTAGTACCTAGGTGATCAGAACTCCCACACGTTAGCATGGACTTATTACAGTCATGGCTCTAAGATTTATGAGCATATTGTTTGTACTTGCAGAGCAAGTGATCATCTACAACATTGGACTCATCCCCAGCAAATACTACGTGGTACTGGGAGACAAGGACATGGACGGTTTTCGTTCCAAAACAATGACGGCAGTTTTGCTGATTCTCGCTGAAGCTTTTGTAAGATATTTTGTCATTTACTTTCTTTGATTAAGCCAAGATTTTGAAGCAATGTTAATTCACTTGTGTCCAACCCGGTACTAAAACATTTGCAGTGTATGTTAATACCCTTCATGTGTTGAGGCACATGCTGCATTTTGCTAGCCAGATACTGCCCCTTCACACATGACTTACAGGGATTCTGAAGGAAAACATCGGCTGTATTTTGGGTTGACTATCAATATATAAAAAAAAAAGATTGATAATCATTAACTGAATACCATTATTGATAAATATCAGACAATCAAATTTCAGCCATTTCATGGGCAGGGCTAAATACTACCCAGGTTCAATTCTCATGATGACTATGTATCAAGCCCATTTCTGGTAACCCCCACGATGATATTGCAGGGATATTGCTTAAATGTACAATGTCACACCACACTTCTCTCAAACAATAATAATGCATTTCTCTCAATGACACTAGCTAACAGCCCTCAGGGAAGCTACCATATAATTTATTAAAAAATAAATTTGCGTATTTAGATTACAATATTAAATAAAAAAAGTTCAAATGAATTAATTCAACATTGCATTAAATCGACTCTCGACCCCTCTACCGGCTGAACATTATTTCAAGCAAGCCCCACAGAGTTATGGCCCTTGGAATGCTCTTTATGAATATCCTATGCACGACTTGTGATTAAAACCAGTTCAGCCAACACAGACAACACGTCGTGCAACAATTTTCGATGTACGGAGCAATCGTTTACATTCCATATATGGTTTAAACATATTTTATTCTATTCAAGAAAAAGGAAAAGGATTGCCAAACAAGCCTAAATGGCTTATGTTAATGCCGCTCCATAATACATGTGAAGGTTCACATTTGTGCATAATGTTGTACATATTTATAGTAGTTATATCAAGTTATCTCTGAATGATAACAATCATGAATATCAACAATTTATCTTGGTTTTGTTTCGTGGCCAGTTGATACAAATAAAAATAAGAGAAGCTACAGAACTTTATGAATCAAAACGTTTTGATGTAATAATGAATTGATGGACTGACCGTAGAATATCCATATTCGTCTGATGAGATACTGAGTTGTTGCCATTTAGCACATCCCGCAGGGAGAAACCTTTCACATAGAAATACAATTCGTATAGAATGGTATTATATTTAGGACACATGAAAAATAGTGGAATACATCCTCATAATCTTGTGAGCAGGAACAAGAAGCATTATCAGAAATGAAGCGATTATACTTATCACTGTTTAAGTCACTGCATCCCAATCTAAAGGCGACAGTGTATTATTTGACAAAATCGACTACCAAAATTTAGATCGAACATTGTGTTGGTATTAACTTCATTGGTGTGATTGAATTCTTAAACTGTCCAACAGAGGAAGCGTTTGTAGCATTTGTAGGTAGGTCATTCCACAGTTTAATTGTATCAGGCAAACACGATTTGGCATAATTAGTAGATTTGCATCTTAGAGTCTGATAATTTTCATTATTCCTAAGATTGTAGTTACTGTTATCAGAAACATTCCCTGGAGCAAGTTCACAAAGATAGTCAGGAACCATATGGTTTACCATTTTGTAAAATAATGTTAATTTAGAAGTTTCTCTCCATTTAGATAAAGGAAGTCAGGTTTGTCTCATGATATAGTTTCGCATGGCTCGTACCTCTAACTGCAATGCATATGTAATCGTAAGGCATCTAAGTGAAGGTTTTCTAGTGACAAGGATTGTTAGTTTGTACAATTGTCCCAGAGATGACAGCAATAGTCAAATAGAGGTAAGATAAAAGATTTATACATTGTTTGAGAGTTTTAGCGTGATAGTCTATATTTAAAACTACGAAGGCAATTAATCATAGGGCTACTTTTCCTTATCATTTCATTAATGTGGGAATGCCAAAGGAGGTTTTCCTGAAAAATAATGCCTAAGTGTTTATGAATCTGCACTTCATTTATAGGGGTACCATTCATCGAGAGGGGAGGTTTCGTAGAAGGTTTCGTTTTGTGTGAAAACTGGATAGTTTCAGTTTTGTTTGGATTAAATTTTACTTGCCAGGTTTACGCCCATTTAGATATTCTGTCTAAATCTGAGTTAAGAATAAATGCACTTGTATGGGTATCGTCGATTATTACATAAAGTGATGTGTCGTCTGCGAAAAGGCGTATATTACTTTCGATTCCATCAACTATGTCGTTTATGTGTATGAAGAATAAAAGAGGTCCAAGGACTGATCCTTGGGGCACTCCGGTTTTAATTCTGATTTGTAACCTTGGATAACTACTCTTTGCATTCTATTTTGCAAATAACTTCCAAACCATTTCAATAACTTCCCATCTATCCCACATGATTTTTAGTTTATGGATAATCCCTTTGTGCCAAACTTTATCAAATGCCTTGCTTATATGCATGAAAAATACAGCTCTTACTTCTTTTCCGTTGTTGATAGCTTTAGCAATAAAATTATGCAAATCATTGAGTTGGTAAGCTGTTGAATCTCCTGGCATGAATCAGATTGTAAATTTGAGAGGCAAGTGTTATCTCTCATGAAGTTAAAGACATATTTAAATATACATTTTCAAAGACCTTGGATAAACAAGATGTTAAAGGCAGCGGGTCTATAGTTGAACAGTCGTTAATATTACCTTTCTTGTGGATTGGTATGACTGATGATTCTTTCCATATGTCTGGGAAAACTGATGTTTGAAGTGACGTGTTAAAGAGGTTAGTTAATGCTAGTGACAAGGAGGGGGATACCAAACGTAGGAGGCGGTTTCCAATACCATCTGGTCCACTCGCTTTGGTAATGTTTAACGATGATAGAACATCTTCAACATCCTGCTTTGTAAGATATAAATTCCTCATATATTTACTATCATTGTTTAAGGTCATATTTGGAAGATCCTTATTAGGGTCAGCAGTTGCCTGGTCAATAAAATAATTATTTAAAACGTTTGCTATTGATTCTGGTTCTTGATAGACTTCGTTATTGTGGGTAATAGGAGGAAAGGAGGTACTTTCAGATTTTTTGTTCATATAGTTTTTAACTAAACGCCACCATAGTTTAGTGCTATGATTATTGTTTATTTGAGTGTCTAATTTTGTTGTATAATCTTTCTTGGCTTTTCTAACTGCAGAAATCACTTGATTTCTTAATGATCTTAAAGTAGCCCAGTCATTTTCACCATTTTTTTGTTTCGCTATTTTATGTTGTCGATTTCGTTTCTGCATGAGTTTGCGAATGTTATTATTCATCCAGGGTGTATCTTTACATATTATTGTAACAATTTTGTTTGATATATTGGAATCGCAGATATGAGATAAGGTTTTCACAAAACCACCTGTGCTCACATTTATGTCAGGTGATGACAGTACCTTTTCCCAATCAGTATTATCAACGTGGAAGCAGATATCGTCCTTGTTTACCAGTGTGTGATCGTAAACTTTTCTCAGAAATATTTTCGTTGACTTCATACATTCTTTTATTGTTACGGATACTGGACAATGATCGCTACAAAAAGGTTCTAAAACATTTGACTCTTTTACCATATCGAGACGAGAAACAAATATCAAACCAATAAGGGTTCTACTGTTTTTGGTGACTCTGGTTGGTGAGTTTATAAGTTGATGCAAACCGTTAGCCACCATAAGATTGTTTATTTTAGCGTCTAATTTGTTGTAAATATCAATGTTAAAATCTCCAACAGTGATTGTATCTAAATCCATATCCATTGCATCTCCAATCGATTGATCTAACAGGTTCCAATACTGCTCACTTTTGTCTGCTCTGTAAAATACACCCACTAGATACTTCCTGTTTTTGTAGCGGAGCTCTATCCATAATGCTTCCAGACCAATCTTATCTAAGGTTTCTACTCGTTTGGCGATGAATGTGTTCTTAACATAGACAGCGACCCCACCACCCCATGTACGTCTATCGTTTCTAAAGGGACACTGAAAGCCTGGAATAAGAGTATTACTATGTAAAATACCTTCATGGAGCCAGGTTTCTGTCAAACAGATAACGTCATATTCGTTCAGTTCTAGACCTATGAGTTCAATTTTATCTTTAACACTACAGGCATTTAAATGGATAATTTTAAGATCAGTATAACACGTTGGTCCTGGGTTGGGATGGATATCACCACAAAGTAATAGCAATAAGGTTAGGAGTAGAGATATTCTAGCATCGTAAAGGCACGTCATCATTACTACAAACTTTCGAAAGTTTAATAAATGTGTTTTTTTCAGAAGAGATTTTTAGAGAGAACGAACCCATCGATTTCCTGTATTGAGAAATGTTAACTGGCATTATCGGTCGTTATGAGATCAAATGGATGTCGACAATGGTGGGGATACAAACTAGAACTGGTATAAACTTACCACGAAACAAAATTTATGTCACGTCTGCAAAAATGTTAACAATCAATTACATTCTGAATACAAAATATAACATTTAGAAACATACATTCACTGAGTGAACTCATTTGTCATGAAGGGGAAAGTCACGAACAGTAATTGTTGTAAAGAACAATGAAGGTAAAAAGTAAGAAGGCAGATTATAACCATGAGCTGCCGGTTAGAGAACGGGAAAAAGGACATTCATGGAGTTTACAAGAAAACGACTCTTAAATTTAGAAACACCAACTGTGAAAAGAAATTGTAAACCCGTTTTCGAGATGTAAACCTGCATACTAAAACACATGCAATCAAAAAAGACATATATTTGTAGTATAATGTTGATGAACTTCAATAACATGAAAGTGAATGGGAAAAACACACACAAGAGACCAACAGAAAATCCCCAATACAATCAAGCTAACACAATGAAAAAGAAACTTACACGTGAATCACGTCGCACCATGTCAATACCGCATGCTTTTCTCGTGCATATCTGTTTTCATGCTTTTTCATATCATGTCGAGCATGATTAAAGCGTGCATCAAGCAGGATTAACTGTTTCTACAAGTTTATAAGCGTTATGGCTGATTTG